AAAAAAAAAAAAAAAAAAAAAAAAAAGGAAGCTATAAAATTAAGGGATCTATTTCGAAACAACTAAGGACTGTAATCAAACTCTCGCGATATCCGTATCCATCTTTGGTATACGAACGATAAGGCATCGAGCGTACAAGCATGTCAAGATTATTATGAGAACACCGCTTTCAGTTTGATATTGCACGTGCTGCGAGCGGTTTTAGAACTTATTTTGCAGTGTAGTGTTTCATTCGAGAATAGAGAGAGAGAAATATAATATCTGCATAAATAAATTAATATTGTAATTAATAATATAAGAATAATAAATAAAAATCGAAATGTAAGATAAAATATTGTTATTGTTTAAAAGTGAAGATGAAAAGAAACAATGATGGTGAACAATAGTTATTTCGTCGTGGAAAAATAAAAGTTAAGTTTATAAATTTTTATATCGTTTAAGATTTAACTAAAAATTATCGAATAATCTAATAATATTTTTTTTCTTCCGTTATTTTGCAAATTTAATATAAACAAAAACCAGTAATTCGTATCAACAAAGAAAAAACTTACTTCTCTTCTTAACAATATCTCGTATATATTTAATGGTAAACAAATCCGTATCGATAAGAAGAAACCAGAAGGAAACTTTAGAAGAGATTAAAAATTGTTTATAAATTCATAAAAAACAAATTATAAATCTAGAATTCGTATTATCGTGATAATTTAAATATTGTTAAATTTTCGTGTTATTTTTTTATTTAAATCTGAATGTTATATCATTGGAAATAATTTAAAAATGCCAAATCGAACATCGATTATTTTCAGAAATTGAAATTTATTATTTATTGAACAAAAATTTTTCCAATATCGAGCGAATTTTAAAACGAAGATTAATATATTCTTAATATATAGAATTAAAAATAAAACACGAGGCTATCTAACAATTTATTAATAATATACACTTGACCACTTCCGCCTATATTATATCTGCGTATTGTCTTATTCGATAAACCAATTGTCTATCTGTGGCATGTGGTCACTTTGAAAAGACAAAGTGTTGTCGAGTGCTAGAATAAATATATCTTACATCGAAATTAATTAATAAATTGTTTCGAAATAATTTAAAACATTATTTAACGATAAAATAATATTTTAAGAAGGAAAGAATTATCAGAGGGATAATACGTATCCTAAATCATT